CCGGCTTCGCCGGGGCGAAGCCGCAGGTGGCAGGAGGGGCCCCAGGCGGCTCGTCGCGCGTTCTCGGGCAGACCGGAAAACCTCCCGGTCGCCGCATGTTAGCGGCCAGAACTTAGGTTTTCAGGCTCAACGTTGAGGTGACCCTCCGGAGACTAAGGCTTCGAAAATAGGTTTATAGATCATTACCATTATTTTGAATGGAGGTGCTGAGGACTGAACCCAGGACCTCGCTCTGCCGCTGAGCGACGCCCTCCCCCGGATTCTAGGTGATTTTTGTTTGCCAACATTTCACTCTGAAGTTTTCCAAGCACAGCAAAATTGAAGGAATCCTACGGTGAGCTCCCCGCGCCCACCACCGGGGTTCTACCCTTTTCCCGCAGCTCATGTTCCACGTCGTACGTTCGTTTTCCCAGGGTCCGTTTTCCCAGGGTCGTTTCCCGCATGTTTCCGAGGGAAACCAGTTTTGAAGGAAGAGCAGTGCAGGCAGTAGGGCTGCTGGGTGAGCGGGCCATGCTTTCACTTTTAAGAAGGATACTTTTCCACACTGAAGAAGGAAAAAAGATGTACATTAAGTGCAGATTAAGATTTTATTCCCAATTTTATAAGTGTAATTGTAGTTATTTGGTAATCATTTGTTCTTGCCTTTTCAGATTTTTCTGATCTGAAGCTAATATCCTATCGTGAGCTTTGGGTTACTGAAAAGAAATCGATATAACGTGTGAATAACTATCTCCAGTGTCAATCTGTGTAGTAATAATTCTGTTTTCCACTTGGTAATAAAATTTTGATTTTTAAAATAAAAAAATAAAAGGACACTTTTTTTTCGTTTCAGGTGAATGTAAAAGCTTTAAAGAGAAATTCATGAAGTGTCTGCGTGACAATAATTTTGAAAATGCTTTGTGCAGAAATGAGTCAAAAGAATATTTAGAATGCAGGATGGAGAGGCAAGTACCTGGGAACAGATACGACTTCTCCCCCGCCCCACGTCTCCCACCAAAACGTTTGTGTTGAGAGAAAAACGTGAGGCCTCCTTCAGGCCTCGGGTTTAGCGTGTGTGCTTCAGAACTGCAGGACTGCCCGCCCAAGAGTGAGGCTTATCAGATTAAGTTATACGGAAAGTTCTTCAGTAACCATGGGAACCTTTCCTCCACTGGTGGCTTTGTAGACGTTTGCATTCCTCAGAATATTTTCTTTCCAACTTTGGGTGCTGTTGACATGTCATTCAGGTTTCAGAATCTACATCATGAAAACACTGAGTCAAAAGATTGAAGGCTGTGGGTGCGCAGGGTACCTCTTTCGCGTTCTGAGAGCATGAAGGTGTGTGGTCTGTTTTGTTCCATGTAGGCCCCGAGCCTTTTGCAGTATGATGAGGGGGGAGCAATAGTCCTATAAGAAACGATGAAAGATGAGGGGTTCTCCCTGTCCTAAACAGAATTCACCGGCGCTCACGTTGAAAGAAAACAAACGCTCTAACTGATCCATCAAGAGTTTACTTAAAATAAGAACTACTGTAAACTTTAATGGGGAAGGCGTGAGACATATAATTACGGCGTGGAGTGGGAACTTTTCTTTCTGCCTTTTGAGCCCTTCGTCAGCTCACTAAGTCAGAGGCCTTGTCATAAATCAGTCCACTTGGAGCCCCGTTCTCAGTTTTCCACAACAAACTCAGACGTTCCCCTCCAGGCAAACTCTCTTGTGCTTTGCAGGCCCCAGGTGTTGAGGGCCGTCTGGACATTTGGGGCTTTGAGGGTGATGGTCTTCTTGGCAGCACAGCCCTCCGGGGACACCCCTGTGCTACCTTCTGAGTCTGCCTTCAGGCCCACTGGGGCGTAGGTCTGACAAGGGGCTGGCCTCAGGCCGGCTCTTGAGTCTTCAAGCAGCACTTCAGTGGGGTCCATGTGTTTCCATCACTGTCTTTTAAGTTGCTGCATCTTTGAAACACCGGAGCCCAGTGAGTTTCTTCTGGGTGCTGCCACGCCTTGAGGCAGAGTTTGGAGCCGGTCTCTGCCCCGTGCGAGGATGTGAGCTGTCGCCTGCCTCCCGGAAGCTCGGGCTAGTCGTCCCTGTGCCAGCGTGGTGCCCAGCAGCTCCTGTGTCAGGTTGCTCTGGAGAGGTTGGCTGGTTGGGTGTCCAGAGAGGCTTATGGCTGGTCTGATGGCAGCTGCCAGGTGGGACCAGTGGAAAAGCCCTCTCTTTGCTCTCCTTTTGCCCCTGGTGGTGGGCTGCCCGGGCCTGCATGTGGTGGTGCCGGGATCTGCACAGCCCTTGGGGGCCAGCGTGCCTGGGGCCTGCTGGGGACCCGTGGTGCAGGTGGCTTGTGGACTCCCCAGTCCAGGGGCGTCGCTGGTGGTCAGGCGACGTTTGGCTGAATGCACGGGTGTGTGTGTTTCTGACTTGGTCAGTTATTTTGACCAGAGCTTTTCAGTTTTCTCCTAGTGGAATTCCTCAAACATGCAAAAACAGAGGGTAGTCTGGACCTCTGGAACCATCACCCAGGTTCAGTATGAAGATTTTGCATGTTTACTTCCCCACCGCCTTCTTGAAAACCTCTTTTCTTTTCCTTTTTTCCATTTTTTGCTGAAATCCCAGACCTTGTTTCACCCCTACTTACTTCACATACATCTTTTTAAAAACCAGACCATAGGAGAGTTTCTAAGTTGCCTCATGAGGACTTGTAGGTGTGGGTTTAGAAGTGGGTCACCTGTTCTCTTGGCAAAAGCTGTGAAAGTTGGGATTACTCTGTTGGTGGGGGTACAGCAAGTACACGGTGATACGCCTTCTGAAGCCTGGTTCCCGCGCTGTGGGGTGGGCGTCGGGGGCTACTCACCCGCTCCCTGGTGTGTGGGGCGCCAGAGGGTGGAGCAGCCGGCCCCTGGGACGCCCGAGGCACCCCCACCCCCGGAGAGGCCAGTGAACACTGAAGTTGGGGCGGGCCGGCCGGCCCCCTGGAGGCCCCGGGCAGGCTTGCTTCCAGGCCTTCTCCAGCTCCTGGAGGCGCGTGTCCACCGTCCTCACTGCCAGCGGCACTGCGTCTGTCTGTCCTGTCCTGCTCTTCCCGTCTCCTCTCTGACTCCGACTTGAGGGTTCCTGGGACTGGGCTGGGTCCCCCCTGGTAACCCAAGGGCTCTCGTGTCAGAATCGGCAGCTTAGCCTCCTGAGGTCATGCTCACGGGTTCCGGGGCGTAGGGTGTCCTCGGGGGGTCGTTCTGCAGACCCTGGTGAAGCCTGAGCGGTCAGTCCTAAGGACTGTGGGCCGGCTGTGCTGTCGCCAGGACATGGGGAAATGTATCATCGTTTGCCCGATTTGGGTTTAAGGAGTGTCTTGTGTTCCACCACTATAGGGTTACTGTATTCGCTACCAGGTTAAATTGTGCTGCCTGGGGTTTGTGGCTCTGGGGACATTTTCCTAAGGGATAGTGACAGGCCTCTGGGTTTGTGGGCGTGGCCAGGCTGGAGTAGGCTGGGGGTGGTGGTGGGGCACTGGACCTCGGAGCCGTCCAGGAGCCCTCACCACCCCCCCTTCTCTGCCAGGCCATGGACACTGGCTTCTGGTCTTCTGTTGACTTTTCACCGGCCAGCACAGCAAGTTCAGAGGCCACACGATGAGCGGGGTTGCCAGGGGCCCCCCTGCTGTGGCAGTGGCTCTGCCATCTCGAGTTTCTGGGGCCTCTGCACCCCGCCCTGGGCCCCTTTCCAGGCTGGGCTCGCCCCTTCCCGTGGAACTGCTGAGTTTCCAGATGTGAGAAGACTCTCTGTCTTTCAGCTGACGTGCAGCTGGGGTGTGGGGCTTCGCGTTGGTGGGGTTCTGTGTTGCTGGTGTCCTTTCCCTGCTGCTGGTGGGCGGGGACGTGTGTCTGCCCCGCCTGTGACAGTGTCTTGCTGCAGCTGACACTGCATGCTGGAGGCATTGACACTTGTGAGCTGCCTGAGCCTCCTGGGTGCAGAGACCAGGGCCAGAGGGCCGTGTCGGGGCGGGCAGGGCTGCTAGCCACTCTACCTAACAGGCACTGGCCGCAGGGAGCCACAGCGAGGCCTGCCCATCGGCTGGGGGACGTGGTCACATACTTACGCAGTCTGGCTTGCCAGTAGATTTCTTGAGTGGATTCTCCAGCTTTTTGTAAAGGAAATTGTCGAGCACACAGAAGAGTAAGGAGAGCAGTGTGGTGACCCCCTTGCGCTCAGTCCCAGTGTCGACAGCTGCCAGCGTTCCCCCATCTCTGATCCCTCCCTCCTCACTTCTCATCTCTGCTGCTGAAGTCTTTGAGAGCAAATCCCAAAACATTCTAGCTGTTCAAAGCGGTTGCCTTCAGTTTCTTTCTGGGGACGGCTGCTAGGAAACTCGGGCGGTCTGGGTGACAGATCATCTCCCAGAGCTGTCTTACGTTTCTTTGGACTCAGGGCAGCCCGCATTTGACCCCTGAAGACCTGCAGGCACGATGGTCGTCTGACCAGGTGCCTCGCCGGCTTGCCTGGGTGAACTCGGGGCATGAGTGAGGTGGGACCCGCACAGCTGGGTGCGGGCTCGGGATGGGCAGTTCCTGTTAAGCCCCCGGCTGCTGGTCATGCCAGGCTTCCCTGATGGCACCCCACCAGGACCTGTGCTTCCGCCCCGAAGAAGCTCAGCAGGCCTCTGAAAGTGGGTCTCAGCCCACCCCCAGCCCCCACCCCAAACCAAGCCAAGCCGAGCCCAGGCTGTTTG